TCATTCGATTCAATTAGCTTTGATGAATGCATTTGACTTTCATTTGATTAAAAAAGCTGTGGTAGAATATGTTTGTCTTTCATTTGATTCAATTAGCTTTATAGAATGCATTTGACTTTCATTTGATTCAATTAGCTTTGTTGAATGCATTAGACTTTAATTTGATTAAAAAAGCTTTGTTTGAATGTGTTTGACTTTCATTTGATTTAATTAGCTTTGTTTGAATGTGTTTGACATTCGTTTGATTCAATTAGCTTTGTTTAACGCATTAGACTTTAATTTGATTCTAAAAGCTTTGTTTGAATGTGTTTGACTGTCATTTGATTCAATTAGCTTTTTTTGTATGTGTTTGACTTTCATTTGATTCAATTAGCTTTCTAGAATGCATTTGACTTTTTTTTTTATTAAATTAGCCTTGTTGAATGTATTAGACTTTAATTTGAATCAAAAAGCTTTGGTTGACTGTGTATGACTTTCATTAGATTCAATTAGCTTTATTGAATGCATTTGACTTTTATTTGATTTTGAAAGATTTGTTTGAATGTGTTTAACTTTCATTTGATTCAATTAGCTTTGCTTGAATGTGTTTGACTTTCTTATTATTCAATTAGCTTTGTAGAATGCATTTGACTTTCATTTGATTCAAAATGCTCTGTTTGAATGTGTTTGACTTTCATTTGATTCAATTAGCTTTATTGAATGCATTTGACTTTCATTTGATTCAAAAAGCTTTGTTTGAAAGTGTTTGACTTTCATTTGATTTAATAAGCTTTGTATGAATGTGTTTGACTTTAATTTGATTCAAAAGGATTTGTTTGAATGTGTTTGACTTTCATTTGATTGAATTTGCTTTGTAGAATGCATTTGACTTTCATTTGATTCGAAAAGCTTTGTTTGAATGTGTTTAACTTTCAATTGATTCAAGTAACTTTGTTTGATTTTTTTCTTACTTTAATTTGATTCAATTAGCTTTGTTGGATGCATTTGACTTTCATTTAATTCAAAAAGCTTTGTTTGAATGTGTTTGACTTTCATTTGATTCAATTAGGTTTGTTTAAATGTGTTTGTTTTTTATTCGATTCAATTAGCTTTGATGAATGCATTTGACTTTTATTTGATTCAGTTAGCTTTGATGAATGCATTTGACTTTTATTTGATTCAATTAGGCTTGTTCGAATGTGTTTGACTTTCATTCGATTCAATTAGCTTTGATGAATGCATTTGACTTTCATTTGATTAAAACAGCTGTGGTAGAATATGTTTGTCTTTCATTTGATTCAATTAGCTTTATAGAATGCATTTGACTTTCATTTGATTCAATTAGCTTTGTTGAATGCATTAGACTTTAATTTGATTAAAAAAGCTTTGTTTGAATGTGTTTGACTTTCATTTGATTCAATTAGCTTTGTTTGAATGTGTTTGATATTCGTTTGATTCAATTAGCTTTGTTTAACGCATTAGACTTTAATTTGATTCTAAAAGCTTTGTTTGAATGTGTTTGACTGTCATTTGATTCAATTAGCTTTTTTTGTATGTGTTTGACTTTCATTTGATTCAATTAGCTTTCTAGAATGCATTTGACTTTTTTTTTTTATTTATTAAATTAGCCTTGTTGAATGTATTAGACTTTAATTTGAATCAAAAAGCTTTGGTTGATTGTGTTTGACTTTCATTAGATTCAATTAGCTTTTTTGAATGCATTTGACTTTTATTTGATTTTGAAAGATTTGTTTGAATGTGTTTGACTTTCATTTGATTCAATTAGCTTTGCTTGAATGTGTTTGACTTTCATATTATTCAATTCGCTTTGTAGAATGCATTTGACTTTTATTTGATTTTGAAAGATTTGTTTGAATGTGTTTGACTTTCATTTGATTTAATTAGCTTTGCTTGAATGTGTTTTACTTTCATATTATTCAATTAGCTTTGTAGAATGCATTAAACTTTAATTTGATTCAAAAAGCTTTCTTTGAATGTGTTTGACTTTAATTTGATTCAAAAAGCTTTGTTTGAATTCGTTTGACTTTCATTTGATTCAATTAGCTTTGTTTGAATGTGTTTGACTTCCATTTGATTCGTTTAGCTTTGTAGAATGCATTTAACATTCATTTGATTCAATAAGCTTTGTAGAATGCATTAGACTTTAATTTGATGCAAAAAGCTTTATTTGAATGTGTTTGACTTTCATATGATTCAATTGGCTTGAATGAATTCATTTGACTTTCATTTTATTCAAAAAGCTCTGTTTGAATGTGTTTGACTTTCATTTGACTCAATTAGGTTTGTTCGAATGTGTTTGACTTTCATTTGTTTCAATTACCGTTGTTTAATGCATTAGACTTTAATTTGATTCAAAAAGCTTTGTTTGAATGTGTTTGACTTTCATTTGATTCAATCAGCTTTTTTTGAATGCATTTAACTTTTATTTGATTCAAAAAGATTTGTTTGAATGTGTTTGACTTTCATTTAATTCAATTAGCTTTCCTTGAATGTGTTTAACTTTCATTTGATTCAATTAGCTTTGTAGAATGCATATGACTTTCATTTGATTAAATTAGCTTTGTTGAATGCATTTGACTTTCATTTGATTTAAAACGCTTTGTTTGAAAGTGTTTGACTTTCATTTCATTTAATAAGCTTTGTTTGAATGTGTTTGACTTTAATTTGATTCAAAAAGCTTTGTTTGAATTTGTTTGACTTTCATTTGATTCAATTAGCTTTGTTTGAATGTGTTTGACTTCCATTTGATTCGTTTAGCTTTGTAGAATGCATTTAACATTCATTTGATTCAATTAGCTTTGTAGAATGCATTAGACTTTAATTTGATGCAAAAAGCTTTATTTGAATGTGTTTAACTTTCATATGATTCAATTAGCTTGAATGAATTCATTTGACTTTCATTTGATTCAAAAAGCTCTGTTTGAATGTGTTTGACTTTCATTTGACTCAATTAGGTTTGTTTGAATGTGTTTGACTTTCATTTGTTTCAATTACCTTTGTTGAATGCATTTGACTTTCATTTGATTCAATTAACTTTGTTTGAATGTGTTTGACTTTCATTAGATTCAATTAGCTTTATTGAATGCATTTGACTTTTATTTGATTTTGAAAGATTTGTTTGAATGTGTTTGACTTTCATTTGATTCAATTAGCTTTGCTTGAATGTGTTTGACTTTCATATTATTCAATTCGCTTTGTAGAATGCATTTGACTTTTATTTGATTTTGAAAGATTTGTTTGAATGTGTTTGACTTTCATTTGATTTAATTAGCTTTGCTTGAATGTGTTTTACTTTCATATTATTCAATTAGCTTTGTAGAATGCATTAAACTTTAATTTGATTCGAAAAGCTTTGTTTGAATGTGTTTGAGTTTCATTTGATTCAATTAGCTTTGTTTGAATGTGTATGACTTTCATTAGATTCAATTAGCTTTGTAGAATGCAATTGACTTTTATTTAATTAAATTAGCTTTGTTGAATGTATTAGACTTTAATTTCAATCAAAAAGCTTTGGTTGACTGTGTTTGACTTTCATTTCATTGAATTAGCTTTATTGAATGCATTTGACTTTTATTTGATTCAAAAAGATTTGTTTGAATGTGTTTGACTTTCATTTGATTCATTTAGCTTTCACTAGTAGAAAAATTGAAAAAGGCATCCCCCTTTTGCCACCGGTTCTTGAAAACCGGTGGGAAAAGTTTTGTTTTATAAAAAAAAAAAAGAGGGAAAATGGATTTGCCATTGGTTCTAACCAAACCGGTGGGAAAAGTATGTTTCTCGCACCGGTTCTAACAAAACCGGTGGGAAAAGTGTTATGAAATTAAAAAAAACCGCTTATATTCTTCTTTCTTTCTCCTTCAATTCCTTGATCTTTCCTCCTCTCTCGTCTGCGCTACCTCTCTCTCCTCTCCCTCTCCTCCATTAAAACGAACCTCTCTGTACTCTTTCCTCTCTCTGTACTCCTTCATATCTTTCTCGTCGTACTCCTTCCTCTCTCCCTCGTCCATTTAAGCGTTTCTCGCTGTACTCTTTCCTCTCTCTCTCCTCCATTTAAGCGTACTCGAAATTCTCCATTGAAGGGGCTTATGAGCTTTCTCTCCTCCATTGAAGCAGTCTCTAAGGTTAGATGCTTCTTTTTCTTTAATCATCTAATATTAATTTTGACAATCTAGTGTTAATCATGTATTTAATTGTTAGTATATACTCAATTTAGGGTTATTCGAAGTTGGAAAATTGAACTATTGGTTATACAAAGTCGAAGAATTTAACGTAATTTTTGGAGTCTAGTTTGATAATTGAGTCAATTTTGGTTGCTAATTTGTGAATTTTAGTTTATTTATTTTATTTTATAGGAAAAACACAAATTCACAAATTCTGGGGGTGGGGGAATGGTTTCAGGGGTAGAGTTTCGAGTCTACGGCAGTTTCGGGTCAGGGAAAGGGGTGGGGGTTTCTGGTGGGGAAAGGGATGGGAGTTAGGGTGGTTTCGGGTTAAGGAATTCAAGTTTTGGGCGGTTTCGTTGGTGGGGCTGGGGCGGGGGGTCTATTGCGCTTATGTGGCTCTGGAAGGAGGGTGGTTTTGGTGGTGGTACAGGGGGAGGGGGTGGCTGTCGGGGCTGGGTTGGGGAGTGGTTGTTGGGCTGAAACGCAGTCATGAGATAGACAGGAGAATAGGGTTTTGGGAGGGTTGAAGGTGAAGGATGTTGTTAGTGGGGAGGTTAAGGATGTGCAGGTTTCTTATTTTTCGGTGTTTAGAGAGACATAAAGAGCAATGATATAAATCGAAATGATGACCGGATTACGGAATGCACATTGTGGATTTGTGGTACAATCGTATAAGTGTTGTGATATGTTTTGTTGATGATGTTATCAGGGAGATGATTTGTGTGTTAGCTACTACTACATTGACAGTGAGCTCAATGCTTATGCCATATCTTCTGCTCAGGTCAACTGCTTAGCTTACTTATCTATTTTTATACAACTATTGTACGAATACACAAAGGAAGTACGGAATTATGTTGAGTACATTTGATAATTCGGCTCCATGGAAAGTCGAAAAACCTTTAAACTGTTGCCATGCTTCGGTGATTGTAAGTTGTAATTGCTCTGTGTAAATGGATCATTTGGTAAAAAAAAAAAATAAAATAAGTTGTTTGGATGAACTATTTTAATGTTAATTTGTTTTATGGAATGAGTGTTACCCTTGGCCCTAAATCTCCAAGACGATACAGAAAAAGTGTCAGTGGGATGTCTTTGTGGCTTGACGGCTTTAAGAGAAGTAATGTTGTTTCTGCATCTGGTATACTTGAGTTTGCTTACAGGTTTGCTTTCCGAAATTTACTTAAGTTTTTAGTGACAATGTTAAAATTATTCCGTTGAGACATTAAAAATAAGGAATTGGCAATCCTCTTTATGTGATCATAGGGACAAAACCGAATTGGGTAGTGAAGATGAGAAATCTTATCAGTCCGATTAGTGCCATTTTTATAGATTGATCAATGGATTTTGTAAATGTTGCTAACAAATCAATTATGTTTCATAACTTGATGCTTGAATCTTGGTGTTAGATTTTATTACATATATGCTGCTGTTTTGATTCTTTGTAATTTACGTGAGAATCGTAAAAGGAGGTATTAATTGCTTTCTTATGGTAATAAATAATTGTCGTAGTAGACCTCATTACAACTTATAATGTCATATTACTGTGTTTGGCTGGTGTCATTGCTTTGCTAAGAATGTATAATTCAAGTATAATTTACATCTTAATATGATTTTTGGTCTCAGTATCTCAAGTGCTCTCTTTCTCCACCCTCTTTGTCAATCTATCCTTGTTGGAGAGTAATTTCTTGTAGATTCAAATCATGGTGAAACTACTGATATGAACAGAACTCTGATTGCACTTTACTTGATGACTATAAGAGTATAAGTTGGCTACTTCTTTTGTAGGGATTTGCAGAAGGCGACTCAGAATTTCACAACATTGGTTGGCCAGGGTGCATATGGTCCTGTGTACAAAGCTCAGATGTCATCTGGTGAAATAGTTGCTGTGAAGGTGCTGGCAATTGATGTCAAAGCAAGGGGAGCGAGAATTTGACACAGAGGTAATGTCATATTTTAATCAGTGCAGCTTCTTAGCGGCAATATAATCTATACCAAGGTTCATCCTTAGATGTCCTGTGTGGTAGACAAGTTGCTGTCTCTTTTTATGCTGTAGTTATTTTGCTGATTGATTCTTGATCTCACCTTCTTTTATTGCATGCTCTTGTTTCTCAGGTTAAGCTGTTAGGAAGGTTGCATCACAGGAACCTCTTGAATTTGCTTGGATATTGTACAGAGAAGGGTAGTATCCGAATTGGGTTGAAATTTGTTGTGAAATAGAACTATAGGACTTGAATTACAATCTTGGGTTGATTATTCCAGTTTTAGGTGAGCTGCCATCGGCAATGAGGACAGCAGCTTGGGTGGGGAAATGGCATTTGATACTACAAAGACAAACACCATTGCCACCAATGTCACTGTGCTCTACTCTGCAACAGTTTTGCATTCTTGCCACCCTTGAAGTCCTGAGTTCTATTAGTTTTTGTATACTGTCAGACAGCATATGTTAATGTTTATATGTCCAAAAATATATATGTTAGTGTTTATATGTCCATTTTTTTTAGTTTTTTAAAGTGTAATATTACAAGTTATTGAGGCAAATATATGTGTTTTATGTATATTATGATTATATACAAGTATTTGGTACAATTTAAGTGAAAAAAATGCAAAAAAAAAAAAAAAAAAATAATTTTTTGGGGCATTTTTGCCACCGGGTCAGTGTGAAAATCAGTGGGAAATGTTATAGTTTTGCCACCGGTTCACTTGAAAACCGGTGGGAAAAGTCCTCCAGCTATAAGATAAATCACATGTTTTTGCCACCGGTTCACTCCAAAACCGGTGGGAAAAGTGGTTTTTGCCACCGGTTTTGAACCGGTGGGAAATCTTTGGGGATTTAGCACCCCCCAAATCAAGAACGGTTCAAAACCGGTGGGGAATGAGTGGTTTGAACCGGTGGGGATTGGGGTTTTTTGCCTAGTGTTTGCTTGAATGTGTTTGACTTTCATTTGATTCAATTAGCTTTGTAGAATGCATTAGACTTTCATTTGATTTGAAAAGCTTTGTTTGAATGTGTTTGACTTTCATTTGATTCAATTAGCTTTGTTGAATGCATTTGACTTTCATTTAATTCAAAAAGCTTTGTTTGAAAATGTTTGACTTTCATTTGATTTAAATAGCTTTGTTTAATTGTGTTTGACTTTCATTAGATTCTTTTTTTTTTTTTTTTTTTAAAAGGTGAGAAAATTATTAATACCAAAAGACGAGGGACAAGCCCTCAAGTACAACCCCAGACCTAGGAGAGACCACCTTCTAGGAAGGGTGCCTCAAAGCTAGGATGGGCTAGGCACAAAGTTGGAAGGCACAACAGCCCATAAGTTCTAGCACAAAGCAAACAAACCAAGACAAACTAAAAAAAAAAACAAAGCTAAAAGGCCCAAAACAAAAGGGCCTATCGAGGAATACAACTTCTAAGCATAAACAGCCATTTACAATGCTGTTTTTTCCACTTACTACCAATATTTTGCTGAATTCTGTCAACAATCTCTGTGCACATTTTAGTGCATAATCTTCTCGGATGAGGAACAACAGCATTCCAGAAGGTGTGATTCCGTGCATACCAGAGGTAGTACACCAAACCAGTAAGGACAGCAAAGCCCACCTTTCTCTTAATAGGGTCTTTAAACAATTTTTTCCAACATTTCCAGGTGCTGTTAATATCAACATGATTATCTGAAATCTGCAACAAATGACAGATAATATTCATACATCTTCTGCTGTAAGGACAGTTGAAAAATAGGTGACTATGATCTTCCCTCTGATCTCCACAAAGATAGCAAGTAGCAGAGTCACTAACACCTATTCTCAGTAATTTATCTCTTGTTCTCAGTCTGTCCAAAATAGCCATCCAAGCTATAATAGAATGTCTAGGAACATTGTAATGATTCCAGATCCAGTTATCCCAATCTATAGTCTGTGAACCTCTCTGTAACCAGGCATATCCATCTGAGATAGAGTACTTCCCCTTTTTCCAGTGTTCAGAGTCAAAACCATCCTTTAACTCATCCTTAACAGAGCAGATCCTCTTCCAAGCCCAGCCATCAGCTTTCTTGGGGACATAGGACCACCAATTAGTCTCTTTCAAGTAGACATTGTGGATCCATTTAACCCATAATGAGTCTTGTTTCTGAGCCACCTTCCAAACAAACTTGCCTAGGGCAGCCTTATTCCACAACTCACAATCTCTGATCCCCATACCACCAGTCTTCTTAGCTTGACAAATCCAACTCCAAGCAACAGGAGGGCATTTAGACAATGAAGCTGACCCACACCATAAGAATGCCCTGCATAGCTGATTTATCTTGTTAATGACTATCTTGGGAAACAGAATACATTGTGCCCAGTAGGTGTGTAGGCTCATAAGAACATAATTTATGAGCACACTTTTGCAGCATAAGAAAGGTTCCTACTGGACCACCTAGTCATCCTAGCCAGCATACTGTCAATTAACCCATCAAAATCACTAACCTTCATGTATCTGCTATTCAAAGGTATACCCAAGTATTTAAAAGGCATACAGCCTTCCACAAACCCCGAGTGATGTAAAATCTCCTTCTTAATATCAGGATGAACATTACCAAAATAGATGGCAGTCTTATCAGAGTTAGCTAGCAACCCCGAGACCTTTTCAAACAGTTTCAGAGCTCTTGTAAGATAGCTCACTGATTTTTTATCCCCATAAGCAAAGAGCATTAAATCATCAGCAAACACCAGATGATTAAGTTTTAACTGTTTGCACCTATAGTGAAACTTGAAACCCTTCTTGTGCCCTACCTTCCTTAGCAGCCTGGTTAAATACTCCATTACAATCACAAAGAGAAGAGGAGACATGGGATCTCCCTGTCTCACACCTCTCTTACCCGGAAAGAAACCATGCATACCCCCATTTAGAAAGATGGAATAAGAGGGAGAGGTCACACATTCCATAATCCAGTGAACAAGCTGAGTAGGGAAACCAAAACAGCCTAGCATATCCTCAATAAAGCTCCAGTAAACTGAATCATAGGCTTTTCGAAGATCAACCTTCACAATACACCTAGGAGACTTCCTTTTATTATTATAATCTTTAAGAATGTCTTGACAAATAAGCACATTGTCTAAAATCGACCTACCAACAATAAAAGCACCTTGGGACTCATCAATTAGCACAGGTAACACCTCTTTCATCCTAGAGCACAACATTATCGAGATAATTTTGTAGAGAACATTACAGCATGCTATTGGTCGAAACTTTCAATAGATTCAATTAGCTTTGTAGAATGCAATTGACTTTTATTTGATTAAATTAGCTTTGTTGAATTTATTAGACTTTAATTTGAATCAAAAAGCTTTGGTTGACCGTGTTTGACTTTCATTTGATTCAATTAGCTTTATTGAATGCATTTGACTTTTATTTGATTCAAAAAGATTTGTTTGAATGTGTTTGACTTTCATTTAATTCAATTAGCTTTGCTTGAATGTGTTTAACTTTCATTTGATTCAATTAGCTTTGTAGAATGCATATGACTTTCATTTGATTAAATTAGCTTTGTTGAATGCATTTGACTTTCATTTGATTTAAAACGCTTTGTTTGAAAATGTTTGACTTTCATTTGATTTAATAAGCTTTGTTTGAATGTGTTTGACTTTAATTTGATTCAAAAAGCTTTGTTTAAATTTGTTTGACTTTCATTTGATTCAATTAGCTTTGTTTGAATGTGTTTGACTTCCATTTGATTCGTTTATCTTTGTAGAATGCATTTAACATTCATTGGATTCAATTAGCTTTGTTGAATGCATTTGACTTTCATTTAATTCAGAAAGCTTTGATTGAGAATGTGTTTGACTTCCATTTGACTCAATTAGTTTTATAGAATGCATTTGACTTTCATTTGATTCGAAAAGCTTTATTTGAATGTATTTGACTTTCATTTGATTTAAATAGCTTTGTTTAATTGTGTTTGACTTTCGTTTGATTCATTTAGCTTTGTAGAATGCATTAAACTTTAATTGGATTCAATAAGGATTTATTTGAATGTGTTTGACTTTCATTTGATTCAATTAGCTTGAATGAATTCATTTGACTTTCATTTGATTCAAAAAGCTTTGTTTGAATGTAATTGACTTTCATTTGATTCAATTAGGTTTGTTTGAATGTTTTTGACTTTCATTCGATTCAATTAGCTTTGATGAATGCATTTGAGTTTCATTTGATTCAAAAAGCTCTATTTGAATGTGTTTGACTTTCATTTGACAAAATTAGGTTTGTTTGAATGTGTTTACCTTTCATTTGATTAAATTAGCTTTGTTAGAATGTGTTTGACTTTCATTTGATTCAATTAGCTTTGTTTAATGCATTAGAATTTAATTTGATTCAAAAAGCTTTGTTTGAATGTGTTTGACTTTCATTTGATTCAAATGTGTTTGACTTTTATTTGATTAAATTAGCTTTGTTGAATGCATTAGACTTTAATTTGAATCAAAAAGCTTTGGTTGACTGTGTTTGACTTTCATTTGATTCAATTAGCTTTATTGAATGCATTTGACTATCATTTGATTCAAATAGATTTGTTTGAATGTGTTTGACTATCATTTGATTCAATTACCTTTGCTTGAATGTGTTTGACTTTCATTTAATTCAATTAGCTTTGTAGAACGCATTTTACTTTTATTTCATTAAATTAGCTTTGCTGAATCTATTAAACTTTCATTTGATTCAGAAAGCTTTGCTTGAATGTGTTTGACTTTTATTTGATTCAATTAGCTTTATAGAATGCATTTGACTATCATTTGATTCAAAAAGCTTTGTTTGAATTTGTTTGACTTTCATTTGATTCAATTAACTTTGTTTGAATGTGTTTAACTTTCATTTGATTCAATTAGCTTTGTTGAATGTTTTGACTTTCATTTGATTCAAAAAGCTTTGTTTGAGTGTGTTAGACTTTCATTTTATTTATAAAG